CTTTTTTCAGGGCTGTGGAAATAGCAGTTGTGAATTTGTATCATCGAATCATGGCCAAATCAAGAGACCATGGTGAGCATTGTTGTCTTATTCCTCCAAATTATTGTGTTCTCAATAGCAGGCATACTTACTGTGTGTGCATTCCTATGGATGATCATTCTATCGTAAACATGCTTCCAGATTTGAACATAGATGTGACCTCATACTGCCACTGGGTTTCAATTTACCGTGTAGATGTTTCTAAGAAACTTATATTAAAAAAACCTTTTCATTGAGATTTGGAGACATGTTCAAACAGTTTCTGCTTGTTTTTATATTTTCAATGTATGATTACGCAAATGCTTAGCACAGTGAAGTGGGCATTGCAAAAGTAAAAATATTACTTGTTACATAACCTTGATTGCCAACGTCTCTAATGGATAGCAATATCAAACTCCAACAAGACATTTAACCACCAAATTTATTTATAGTTGAATATTTCCTGGAGGAGTTCAGGGAGCACATAACTGCTTATGTGACATCACCTGGAGCCACCGCAGAGGCCTTGATCTCACAGCAGCACATGCCCATCCCTGAAGATGTGACACCTGAGGAACAGAAGAGGGTGCTGTTTCACACTGTGCAGGAAGTAACTTCACAGTCCAAAGATAGTCTCAACCAGATACTCACACATGAGGAACATGAGCTTTCAACTGATTTAGGTAAGACAAATCTGTTAGAAATTGTACAGTCTTACATATTTCCATTACATAGCATACTGTTGTGTAATGGAATGTATTACCTACTAAGATATAACAAAGACAAAGTATGGTGACCATGCAGAGGATTGCCTGTCACTCAAAAAGGTTAAATGCCAATATTTTTGACACTGTACATTACTGAACAAACATTATATGAAAAATGTTAAACACAATTTCTCTACATTATCTTCATAACTCTAACTTAAGCATGACTTTATGTAAGTTAATGTAAAGTTTAGCATCTCAAAACTCTTAATGGGATTGTTCACTGAAAAATGAAATTTAACTCATTATCTATTACCACTATGCTGCCGATTGAGTGGTGAGTAGTGTTTGAGCCCACAAAACACTTGAACACTGGAGTTTCTGACCTAGACTTCAGACGTAATAAAAAAACATATCATCATATTGCTTGTGTGGTGTCATCCAAATGTCCAAAGGCCCCGACATTCATATTCTACATGAAACGGCAGCTCTAAAAGTCCACCGGAAGTGGCTAAGCTAGCGGACTTTATCAGGTCCGACGGTCCATGAATGCACCTCGTAGGAAGATATAATTTACGCTTAAAACATTGTGTAAATTACACAATTTTGGTGGTTGAATATGAACGTTGGGGCTTGCGGACACTTGGATGACACCACACAAGCAGTATGGAGGCATGTTGTGTTTTTTTCTGTTTTATTTTGTATGAGGTTTAGGTCACCATTGACTTCATCCGATATGGCTGCAACAAAGTTAGCTTCTGAGACTCCTATAATGTTTTGTGGACTCAAACACTTCACCAACCCCTCCATCTGCATAGTCGTGGATAGATAATGAGTGAATTTTCATTTTTCAGTGAACTATCCCTTAAGGTTAAAGGTGACTGCACTATGGTTCAGTTATCAATACAGACAGCCGAGCCACTTGTATG